TTGGTACAAACATTCATGTTCCCCACAGGATAAATTGTAATAACTTTGGTGATCCTCTGATTTTTCATCTAGCGCCATCATCAGGTCAAAAATATTATTTGTCCAACACTAATGACATTCCCATCAGCCTCAGCTGTACTTAGTTAATTTCATCTGATTAGTAAATTCACTTTAACCGAAATGTAATCTCAGAATACATAAACTATTGGCTGACGTCGATTTAGCTTCTTATTTGATTTTTACAAATGTATCGGCATTCAGGCGGAGGTCAGGAGGTAGTGCAGGCCCTACACTAATCAGAAGGTTAGCAGTTCGATCCCCCGGATACATGTATGTCGAAGTGTCCTTGAGCAAGATACTGAACTTCAAATTGCTCTTGATGCTGTGCATCAGTGTATAAATGTGTGTGAGTTAGTTAGTTTTTGATGGCCTTTGCTCTTACTGTATGAATGGGTGACTGTAGTGTAAAAGCACTTTGAGCAGATGCAGATATCTGTTTGTAAGATAATCTGTTTGTTTCCCCTAGAGGCTAAATCGCTGTCAGACAATAGCTGATGGGTTCCCGAGATTGCTGAGCCATCTATTAGGTTTTGCTTTTCTACTAGCAGATAAGTAACAATACACCAGCTCTACGTGACTCAGAGAGACACTTTTATGCAGAGTGTCTCTCTGGACTGGACTATAATTACAGGAGGACTCGAGAGTTTGATGGAAAACAGTAAAGTCGGTTATCGGTTGATCAATACAGGTAAAATTTAAATCACTGCACATCCGCTAGAGAAATAAGTTCAGTCCAAATGGATCTAAAGTTTGACCAAAGTGCAGCACAAAGACCCAAATGCAGAAACTCTTTAAACGCCTCACCGTCGTGGTTGGCGTTTCCCAGCGTCCACGGTTCGTCAGAGTCAAAGTGCGTGTCTCCACCGATACCGGCGCCGGGGAAGTAAGCGTGGGCCAGGAAACCCCCCTCTCCGTCGAACGGGGAACTGTCCCCATGGAAACCAGAGGCGAAGAAGATCATGATGTCGGCCTCTTTACCCTCGTTCTTGATCTCCGAGTATGGCACCTCCTGAACGGGATCAGAGAGGAGGAGAGTGGAGAAAAGAGGAACTGAGAAAGGAAACAAAGAGCTGGCATAGCTTGAAAGAGAAAAAAGTCTCTATCAGCATCTCACAAAAATATTGTGAATTACAGCAGGATGTTTTATAGTGCGAGACTTTATTCATACTGAAAAGGAAGCTGAAGGAACAAACGCAGACAGAACAGACTGTCCTGTCACCAATAAAGACTTTAATATCACTTTGGTTGCACCAGCACAGCTTTTTTCAATTGATTACAAAGCTGTTATCTCATTTATTTTAACTGTCGTGATTATAAGATTTCTCTTAATGAGATACTTTGTCGTAATAATGTGATAATGTGAAAGTTTTCAGAGTAGATTTATTATGTTCATTATTTGATCGTGATGCACTGGATACCTTCAAAATCACATAAGCATAAATAAAATCAATACAAACATGATAAAAACAAAGAGAGCCATAAAAGCACAACTGTGTAGTTTTTCTCTGACCTGGAAGGAGAGCGGAGTGACCGTCTGCCACACGTTGAAGGCTTGTCGGATCGCTCTCTGGGTGTCCTTCTCTCCCACTTTAGGGGTGAAGTTGGATATGCTGCGGGAAAGCAAAAGCAGAGTATTAGTTACAACCAGACACGGCATGTGAACATGACTACAGGGGACAGTCTGTCAGATCTGCATGTCAGATGGTCGAACAGCCTCGGAAACCTTCTATTCTGAATTCGGGATCTGGCTGCATCTCAGAGTTTCTGTAACTTCAGAACCAAAGCACAAACCAAAGTACAACTGAGGCTGATGATTGAGGTATTTAGTCATACATCAAAGTATTGGACAAATTAAAAGTCATTAGGATTCATCCTCTGAGGAACATGAATGTCTGAACCAAATGTTGAGCTTGACTCTCCTGAAAGGGACATGAGCTACCCTGAAAGCCTACTTTGAGACATTTAGGGGGAGCTTGAATACATCGTCCACATTTGTGTGAAATGTTGTTTTATTTTATTTGCTGTACATTAAGGCTCCTGAAATAGATAAGAATAGTAAAAATATCGCAATGGAGTGTTTATTATTGCCTTCCAACAGCCTGTGTCGCACTTAAAAACACCTTTTGAGTTCATTTTGATTCAAGAACTCTCCACATTAGTTTAAATTCACAAAGATCAGATGATAATGATACCTGATTTTAGTTTTGCAACATTGGACCTTTCAACAGATTGTTCCATTTAGAGAATATCCTGAAAAGTAGGTAACTACTGTTGTCTGTGCAAAGACTGTGAGGCCGGCCAACGTGGTGCAATAATGTTTTTGGCTGCTGTTATTGTTGAGTCATAATTTAGCAATAAACCAAAGGACATGGTACAGAGCGATCCAACAGAGTTTCACAATCTAAAACCTTCTGGACATTCTCATATCACATACAAAACCATATGGTTGTTGTCAGTTTTCCACCTTGTGAACAAACCACAGTGCTTTTTGTCAGTTTTCTCTGGTCATGTAGCACCAGTTTAAAAAATATCTGCCATTTTATGAAGTTTTTATGAAGATTAGTTTTGTATAAATACCTAATTTTGTGACAGTCTTAAGGTAAAACTAGACGCTGTCGTGTCTGTGATGTTAACCCAGTACTGTGTTGATGTTACATTGATCAGTTTTTAACCCACTGATCTTTAATTTGTTGACTAATCATCAAACTATAATCAGAAGTTAAAGCTCAGTAATCATTAATCAAATCCAAACCTTTATTATTTTGTACAATTAATAGATGAGTATTCAGTCTGCTTTAGGTTTTGGTACTCAGAGATTGCAGCAGAAGGAGCAGCAGCAGTGAAGCCCTTTTTCTCCGTGTAAGTTGATGCATGCGCAGCTATAAGAGACGAATGAGGCAGAAAGGTCATTACAGAGTAATTGCAGGAGAGGAGACGTGCCATCCATGCCTATTTTGCTGTGAGAGACACTTTCATGTAGCATCTTTGAAAAAAAACAAAAAACCATTTAAACCTTTGGTGACACTTCCTGACCTTGCTAGAGAATACGAGTGAGCGAAACGGGTAGGGGAGGGAGCGTTGGAGGACAGATGGAGTGATTGGCAGAAGCAGAGAGGAGAGAATGGAAAAGAAAAGCCGGGACAAGAGAGTGAGATGAAGAAAGAAGCGGAGGGATAAGACAGCAAAGAAAGCACACAGTTGAGTTTATTTCACACAATCTGTCTCTCGACAGGGGGCAAATGCTTTGTGCCCAACCAGAAAAATACATTATGGAAATAAATATCAGCACATTACACAGTTGCCATAATCCAACATTCACACATGAGTGCACAACAGCTTCCTGATGCGAATAAATAAGTCCATCTGGCAAAGAAATAGAAATGTTTATCGCACTTTCTGTAGTTTACGAGTAGTTGGGCACTGTGTCATGCTGGGAATGGATATGTTCTTGTTTTGGGCTGTGATGGAATGAATATAAAACATGATTTGAATGATTGGGTGATGCAGATTGAGTCTAAATGAGAAATGTTTCAGGGCTGACTGCAGCCAATCTTTACTGGCTCTTAAACCTTGTGTTTTGCTGACATTGGCTTTACTTTCTCACTGTTGGAAGTGCCACAGACCCCACTGATATTTGTGTAGTAATAATAATCAGATTTTTTATTTTATTTTATGTTCTTCTGACCCTATTATAACCCAAAATGTAGATATGTAGAAAGATATTAAATAGTTCACTCTTCCCTTGGATAGAAACTGAGCCTGGACATTCGCTGAAGGTGACAAAATATGGAAATAAACATAAAGTGTTGTTATTACACCAAAGAAATAGATATTTCATCGGTTGTATAGCCATCCAAATGTATTGCAAATTTTAACCAAATTAAAAATAAATGTGCAATAGAAAATGCAAATGAATGCCTGTTTCCATCCACTACCATTATGCAAATATAAGTAATTAAAAGAGCGGCAGTTCTTTTGATTACTGTGGCTCAGGAGGTAGAGCGGGCAGATCCCCGGTTCCTCCCACTGTCCTTGAGCAAGATACTGAACCCCAAACTGCTCCTGATGCTGTTCTATCGGTGTGTTTCTGTTTGTGAGGAGCCTCACTGTATGAATGGTCAGACTAGAAAGATGCTATGAAAGTCCATTTACCTTTCAGTCCATTCAAAACTCAAATCATGAAAAACAATGTGGACAACAGGATGAAAATAAGATGTTTCTGTTTGTTTCATGTATTAATCATTGACATTGAATAATTAGTGGACAGAGCTGTCTGGTTTCAGTGAGGCCAATGTAAAAGAACTTTAAAACTGTATTCTGTCTAATGAAGAAAAAACAACCAATGACTGACGTCACGATAGGTCCACGCCTGGTGTTAATGGTTCCTTCAGATCTGCGTGGAGCGATCATGGATGAGCGATGAGGAGACTGTCGGGGCAGAAACAGCTCATCAGTCATGTGAGTTAAACGTTCGCTGTGTCAGAACTTATTCAGAGAGTGTGTCCATCTCCCATTAAGAGCATCAACTCTTCCTTAAAAGGAAAACACCACCTCAAGCAAGCGTAAAAACTTTTTAGCAAAACTTGAGAAAGTTTATAAAAATATGTTGATGGAAACATCATGTATGTTATATAGGCTGTGTATGCGTGAATGTATTTTCCTCTTGTCAAATGAATGTACAGTCTGTTCTCCTACAGAGAGAAGGGTCGGACAGCAGAAATCCAAACAGACTTATTTTAGGGATGGTGCTGAGAAAAGGGACCACATTTTAGCGCCGCGCTCACAAACAGAAGTAATGTGTCATCTTCTGAAACATGTCATCAGTTTATGTAATTCTGAATAAATGAGAAAATCTATAAAGGCTGATAAAAGTATGTTTTTTGTTCCTGTGAAGAAACTCTGGGTGACTGCAGATATGAAACATGACTTGCACTACAGAGAAGTTGTTGTAGAGTCGGAGGGAATATATTTTGAGGGCTGCTAGTGTGTTTGGACAGAGTCTGTGCTGTCTCAGCTAATCTCGAAGAGCCACACTGACTCTTAAACAAATTAAGCCTTTTTTTATTTGACTTTTCTGACAGGCTGTTTGCTGCAACGTCATGCAGCGAAACTCTATGTAAACAACTCATTGTGATTTACATAAAGCAACTGATCGGCGAGAGAAAAATGAACTAAAGCTTGTTTTGACAACATTTTTTATCGTGTTCTTGCATAAGATGATATTTGGAAATCTTCGACAGCGTCGTTTGTGCAGATGATGGATGTTCAATCATATTTTACACACTGAACTGGTGCTCTGTCTGTTTATGCATATAATATCTGTTTGCTGTTGTGGACACAAGTAAGTTTGAGAACCTCAGAGTTAAAGTTTTTTTTTTACTGCATTTCGTAACTGCCTGCATGCAAATCCATTTATAAAATGTATTTCTAAATCCAACTTTCCACCCTAAAGCCCAGTGATTGATGTGTGTGTGTGTGTGT